CAGGAATGAAAGGCCCGCTCATCGAACTCTGAGACCGAAACAGACCGAGGGGACAGTGTGAGGATGCTGGCTCGAGGAGTCGACGGTGGTCACGACGCACGTCAGTGACCGCTGCGCGCTACACGTCTCCCACCTGCCGTCGTCCGTCCCGTTTCCTTCGCGCACAGCTCAGCAGCAGTGCCACCGTCCCTTCCCACCTTCGTGGGACGGAAACACGAAATTATCATCTGTACGGCGCTTCGAACCCGGGGGAAGAAACTGCTGTGCATTCGAGCTACCGGGAGCAAACGTGGCCGCTAACACTCACTCAGCCTTCACGTGGTTCAGACGTCACCAGCAAGAACACTGACTTAAAGGCCTTCAATCAACGTGACCAGCTCATCTGGATCGTACATCTGTGAGTCCTTGCGGCAAAGCAACGTCACCTAGCACGTCCACGGGCAACTGGCCACGTCAAGAGTGAGCCTGCCTAACCTTTTAAGAAGCTGTTCCAAAAAGGAATACGGGCCATCAAAAGCCAGCACGCAGCAGAAACAAGCACTTCAAATGTCAGTGACCCACAGTTGACGTTTGCCGATGGCGGGAGTCGCGTCTGGGGTTCGCTGCGGCCCCGAGACAGCACCGTGATGCCGCCTCTCACCAAAGGAAACCGAAGCCCGGACAGGCCGCGTCACATGGATCGCAGAGCGCAACCCCGGACAGCACGGCACAGGCTGCCCCAGCCCCCCAGCTCTGCCAGACACAAAGGGCGAGCTCATGACCAGGGACCTGGACCGGGACGCAGGTCAGAGGCCCCGTCTCTCGTGGTGTCCGAGCCTGTCAGGTGCGCGCAGCCCGCAGGTGAGGCATCGGGCAGCGGTTCAAGGCTGCGGTCACTCTGGCACGGGTCCACTGGGAGGGGCCCACGGAGCACGGCCGGCCAAAACCCTGTTTCCATGCACCTCGCCGGCCCCTCCCCCTTCCTAAAGTTCCGGTTCCTCAGTTGGGGACACAGATGCCAGCGTACACAATCGAAGTGCGGCACACCCCTCTCTGGCTCTCGTACACCTACACGTGGCCGATTCTTCCTAAGGCGAGCGGGGAACCCCACTGCATTCCTTAGTGCCGTGAGGCCAGGCGTAGGCCGACGCCAGCCCACACCACGACGCTGGCCCACAGCCATGCGCTGCCGCTGGGTACTGCCTGCGGCCGCCTTTCCGCCTCAGCAGCAGAGTGGCCCACGGAGCCTGCACGTTCACCACCTGGCCCCCCGTGGAGAGCTCGCCACTGCTGCTCCCCAGGACCCTGGGTGGGACGCGGGACGCTGATTGGACTTCAGGTGTGCGCGGCCAGGCACGCACCACCCCCAGGTCCTCCGCAGACTGGCGGTGTCACACAGACAACAGAGTGACACCTCACGTGACATGAGGTCTGAATGCCAGCACCGCCGTCCACCCGCCCCGGCCCGGTGCGTCCCAACTCGGTGGCACCGTGCTCCCTGGCCCTGCATCCTACCTGCGCAGTGCTAGCTGGAGGCTGCACTTGTGTTATCGGGTACTGTGTTGGCACAGGTGGGACTCCAGTGGGTAACGCTGGCAAGACTCCGGGTGCCAACGACACGGCGGGTGGCACCATGCTTGGCACTCCGTAGGGAGGCTGAACTGGCTGCTGAGGGGGGGGAACAACAGGGTAACCAGACTGATAGCCACTGGATGGATAACACGGTGGCTGAGGAGGGACACTACTTATAGCAGAGGGTTGTGTGTAGCCTGAGGGGGAAGAAAAAAAGTGTTTAATCAGCTGCAGCAGAACGAGACAGTTTAGCCGAATATTAAACTTAATCTCTAGGGAAGAAAAACCCTGAGGCTCAAATGGCTTTGCACATCACCCTAAGCTGAAGGGAGCAGTACGAGTGCCCTGGCACTTACTCTAGCCTGACGTAGCATTCTATTCATAAACATCACTAGCAAAACCTTTCTATACACTTCAGGACATACACACCTGGCAAAGGTACAGCAGTATTAATCTGATTCACAAATCTAGAGTATTCGGCGTGGACCTGAAAAAGAAAGGTAAACAAATCAACACGGGGCAGCCCCGCTGAGTGAGGGTCTAACGCCCCGAGCGCAGGACCGAGGCGACTGCGCATTAGTCTTTCCGCGGATGTGTCCATCGAATTTAGACTTGTGCATCTTTTCGTTTCCCTAGTGACCTGTCTGTCCTCAAGGAGCTCATGCTTTAGTACAAGTTGAGAACTCTCCCTCTCCAGTTCTTTGTTATAAGACGAGGGCTGGAACCGGTCAGGGAAGTGATCTGGGACGAGGTTTGTTCGTGAAAGCGGGGAGGACAGAGGCATCCCGGAGGGGTGCTGCGCACAGCAGTCAGCACGGGGCGGAACACGGTCAGCCCTCAACCCGATTTCCTTTCGTGCTGGGAAAACTAACTTTTGCCCATTTGTTTATAAAATAAAAACAATGGATAATCAAGTAAGCTCTCGCCCCAACCACTGCAAACTGATTTTCGGCTACTGTGCTGTACCCCCGCTCTGGCTACAGCTGGCGTTAGGAAGAACCTGGAACACCCGCCCTGACCGACTGGACCAGGATTACAAGCACCGCTTAAATAACTGACCACTTTGAGGCTTTACAACACTAACGTACTCTACATTTCAAAAGCCCACACTGAAACAGCTCCCGAAGCAGAAACGCATGCCCACTGGGACGCCGGCAAGGGGACCGTGTCTTCCCCGCAGAGGACATCAGTGGCCAAACGGGGTAGTGGTCTGAACAGTCACCCCCAAGTTCGTGTCTGCCAGGAACCTCAGAACATGACCTCATCTGGAAGCAAGGTCTTTGGTCGTAGGTCACTGCAATGAGGTCCTACTGGGCCAGGGACCCTGAATCCAATGACTGCTACTCAGAGGGACGGACGTGGGGAGCAAGGCCGAGGGAAGGTGGGGGCGGAGATGAGTTCCCGACAGGGCAGGCTGGCCACGGACGGCAGCAGCCACCGGAAGCCAGGCCGGAAGCCTGGCCAGAAGCCTGATGTGGATCCTCCCTCAGGGCTTCCAGAAAAAAAACCACCCTGCCCACACCTTGACTCTGAACTTCTGGCTCCTGAATTGCGAGAGAATTTCCATTTTTTGTCACCCAGTCCGTGGTAATTTTGAATGGCAGCCTAGCAAACTAATGCGGGGGGGTGGGGGGGAGGGGTGTAGTTAAGATGCAGCTCAGAAGGGCAGTAACTGCTGTGACCGAGTATCATCAGATAGATAAACGCAACTCACTGTTTGTAAGAGATTCTCACAGAGCTTCTTGGCAGCAGCCAGGCCTTCTGGTTTGGGATGACTGCAAAAAAAGTAAGAACCAGGAAGTCAAACAAAAGAAGAATAAAAAAGACAGAACTGTTTCTCTTCACGTGCTGTTTAATACGTTCAACATGGCGCAGACCTAAAGCTTCTGAAAACCACAGAAAGACAGAACGAGGTCGTGAGCCCTCTAAAGTAGAACTAGTGTTGTTACCACAAATGTTTTATCGGTCTTTCTCTGAGTGACGGCACTTCTTGATGTGAAAAAAAGACGTCTTTCAAAATACTGCCACGATTTAATTAAAAGTTGTTAAGAGATCATGACACCTCATTTCAGAATCACAAACTTGTATAAATAAAACCCAAGACCTGAACGCTAAGAAAGATAATCCACCTCCTAAACCAGAAGTCTCATTAACTCATCACGGAGCCATCATCTCTCATCAAGCTCGCTTCTCTCGCTCCTGCTCTCACCGGTCTGTGCCGACCCGCCGACAAGGACCCGCCGTGCTCGGCCCCGGCCGCATACCTGATGTAAATGTACATGGGCTCAAATGCCTCCCGGCCCGACGCGGGCTCGATGCAGCCGGAACCTCTGCCCCGCAGGAACACTTTGGCACCGGTTTCAATCTGAATGTGCTGCAAGTAGGAGCAGCCTGGACCTTCCACTTTCTCCTTGACATTGAAAGTGGGCACGGCGTGTTCTAGACCCACGAATAATTTATCTTGAACATAATGCATCTATAGGAGAGCAGAATAAATCAGATTAAACAGAGAATACGTAATTAAAACCTTGAAAATTAATCTTGAAAATTAGTATATAAAACTAATTTTAATCCTTACTTCCAAAATAAGGACACCCCCCAATTTCTACCAAGAGCCCATATGAATAAACCTCATCAAGAAGCTTCATTTAAACGAGAACCATGAAGACCCCGTGCCTTCCTAAAACACCGACGCCTCACTCTGCTCGGCAAAATCCACTCAAGAGGTGAAAACTCCAAATCCTATACCGAGGAGGCACTCCCGCTCCCCCCGCCTGACAGAGACTAAGAAATGGCAGCCACGACGGCTTCCTGCGAGGCTAGACGTGGTGTTGGGTGGCGCAGTCAGCCCTGAGACCGTCTCCAGGAAGGGCTGCTCTCTCCCACCCTTTTCTCTAGGAGGATTGTATCAGCAGAGTCTTGCTTCATCAGACTCAGCCTTCTTAGTCCTCCAGCTGCCTTCGAGTTCACAAACACGAATTCAAGCCACTGCCTGCAAAGGCACAACGGGCACACCCTCTGGGCCACCACACCCCTTTCCGGAAGGGGTCAAGGTCAATAGCTAGGGAAGGGCCCGTAGATGTTCCTTACAGTGAACCCTAAATGGTCCACTGGTAAGATTTCAAAGGGAGGCTCTTCCAGACTGGAATTTCAGGATTTTACCTTTTTCTTCCCGCTTTCTGTGCTACTTGGCTTATGTCATTTTTATAGAAATGAGAAAGCTGTTCATGATCGCTCCATAAAACATACCCCTGACTGGAAGGGAGGCTTCTGGCCAACAGCTGGAGACAGCTGCACGATGGGCGCTGGCTGATGATACACTGTGACCGTCGCACCATTGAAAGTCGGACTTGTCCCTGTGGCAGCTTTCACCACCCCGTTGGTGATGATCTCTTTGATTCGGTTTACAGCCCCTAGGGAGAAACCCAGAGTAAGATCTCACACCAGAAAAATGAATGAACTGACTATACCCAATGATAAACACAGGCCCGTACTCACTCACTCAAGTATTAATTATAGGTGACCCGAGTGCCTGGCTCCCAACCTTGCCAAACCCTACACGCACTCATTGGTAGTTCAAAGAAAGAGTCAGAACAGCCACGAGGGACAGTCTGCCAACTAAGGACACACAGCCCTGCCCTGTGCCCTTCACGAAAAGCGATGTGTGAGCCAAACGCTACTTACGGTCCACTAGTTCCCGTGTCTGACCCTGGACGTGAAGATACAATGGACGATCCCTACAAAGAGAAACGGGATGGTGACCCTGACCGGCATCACCAGCAGAGCCAATGGGCCGTCCAAATGAGCCCGGTGCGCTCGACGTGTCGCCTGAGAAAAAGGGCGAAGCAGCACACGGAACGGCGCTGCCACCTTCCAGGAGCTCGGTCTGAGACCGGGGCAGCGAGCAAACTCCTCCAGCTGCGCAAGGTTAACCGGCGCCCAGAGGGATCGGATCTGTTCCGATGGGCTCACGGGTGTCAGCCTCCAGTCAACTCAGACAGCGCCACGTCTGGGAACGGGGCCCCTTTCCGCTGGCTAACGGGCTGCGGGCAAACGTGCTCTCGGCTCCCCGAATCAACGGGGCAAGCGACGGCCACATACAGATAAACTTTAAGGGCTCTTTAGATTATAACCCTGACAGTGGCGTAGCAGATTTTGATTACAAAGCAGAAAGTGATCAATAACCATAATTAATAAAAATCTATAGGTAAAAAATAACTGTGTTTAAAGACAAAATTGTTTGAAACAGCAACCAGCGAATCCACAAGGTCAACATATACTCTTGGTTTGAGGAGCAAATTTTGCCTCCTAATTATATTTAGTTTAGGCCGAGATAAAAAACGTTGTCTTGCCCGAGTACCTGTCTGAAAAACTGAAAACTGGAAGGGATGAAACTCAACTGAGGTGAGCCCTTTACCTAGATAACATACAAAGTACAACCGTCAGAGAGGCCTACGGAACCTGATCAACAATTTTTAAAGGAAAAATATAAAACAGGAGCCCACTTGCTGGGGAAACGTTTCCATGGAAAAAAGCCTGCATGTAAAATGCACACACTTTTAGAAGTAAACGCCTTAAAAATTCCTTCAACTTTAACTGTGCAATAGAAAAACCAAAGTGCAACAGGAAAGAAACCACCGCGACACCTGTTCCGTCTGCGGGGCACGCCGCGACCTCCCGAGGACCGAGGACCGAGGACCGAGGACGTGCACGCTCACCTGCACGCACACCGCTCACCTGCACGCACACCGAGCCCGCGCTCGCCTGCCACCCCAGGCGGCGGCCGCGTAAGCCGCTCGGCTCCACACACTCCCTAGGCGAGAAAGGCTGATGCGCGCTGCCGGTCCAGCCCCCCGCGCCCCGAAGCAGAGGACATGCGTACACACCCTGGTCCCACTTTGGCCTTCTCCTCGGCGGTCATGAACCTCCCTCGAGTTGACACCGCAGCCCCGCTAAGTCGGCTGATCTAAAGAGAAAACAGTCTGTTAAAAAAATGATGTGGCGACTGACGACGTGGACAACAGGTAGCAGGAAGGATTCGCCCCGCCCACTCGTTCCGCCACCAAGGAAGGCGTTTGCGCTGGGCTCTGAAATCCTGGCTCCGCTGCTTCTCACGCAGGCGGACCGCTGCAGGGAATCCACTCCTGTCTGTTCCTTCACTAAGGTCTTCTGCCTTAAATTAAACCCGCCCTTGACTCTGCAGGTTCTGACCCAAATCCACTAATAAACATCCGACACGGCTCTGTATTCTGAAGCCCTGCTTTTCTGAAACCACGCCCAGCCGCCAGCTCCCTGAGGGACGCCCCTCACCCACGCACCTCATCTTGAGTCTGCCCTCGAGTCAGCAAGTTCCTGCACGTGAGAGGCACATCATTGATCTCGACTTCAGCTACCACCAGGTCATCCTTGCTTTTACTGCTTGTTAGGCCTTTGCCAGGGGCCTGAAGCTACAAAAAGAGAAATCAGATTAAAAAGCTTATATGATGAAATATTTGTGCACTGTCCGATTCACAACTACCCCTTCCCAAGGCCCACCGCCTACCTCCCTCTCCCTTCACTGCCTGCAAATACCTGGAAACACTCTTTGGTCATTGTTCACAAACGAAACAACACACAAACTCTCACTAAAATGAGACCAAGTGCAGTCGATTTACTGGAAGGCCATCATCGGCCTTCTCAACAACCTTGGCCATGTGTGCATTTTTATGGCTACATAATTATAGAAACTCTACGGACTAGAAGCTGCAACCTCCACGAGGAAAACAAAAGGGCCCCGTCACGACGTTTGACGGCGCCAGGAGCCAGCTGAGTCTAAGGCACCATCGCTCGCAGAGCGCACGTGTCACAGAGAGTTGCCTTTGTGCCAACGCTACGGTCACGACATACCAGATTCGACCAACCCCGTCCTTGCGGTATCTCAAAAACCCTTAAACTGTATCTAATGAACGTCCTAGCCCATTACCCTCTATTAAGAAAGAACGAAGACAGCGGATGAAAAGCCAAGTGCGAGCGTAAAACCTGATCTGGTTTTTCTGCATTTCTACTGCACCAACTCCAGATCACTGGATATGAATGTCATCTTTAAACTTTTTATTCTCAAGATGGCCGGTCCCAACCTTAACTCCCCCGGGACAGATGTCTAGTCAATCTGCTCAAGGTAAAATACAGCTCATTTCTTTGGGCGTTAGATGTTTCTTAAAACGTGGAGGCAAACCAAATAGACTCAACATCTCCTCACCTCTGCCCCTTTCGGTACCAGTACGCCTCGCCTCTCTGAATCCGTACGGCCACCTTTGAGGTGCGCCTTCTGTGACAATGGAAGTGTTCTCTGGCAGCCAATATGGGTGCCAGAGCCACGTGTCTATGGAGCAATTCACACGTGGCTAACGTGACCCAGGAACTAAATTCTAAATTTCATTTTAAATTCAAATCTTAATGTATATAGATAGCCATATGTGGCCAGTGGCGACTAGATTGCACAGGTATGCATTACCAATCCCATCACAGACGAGGAAACTGAGGCTCATCTGCCAAAGCTGCTCGACCAGTAACTGGGGGTTCTGGGTTTTAAACCTAGATATTCTGATGTTTAATCCAGAATTTATGCACCATGCTGCCTCCTGCTGAGTTCATTTACCACGTTAAAGATTACTTTTATTGAGAAAAAATAAGTAAATAATTGACACCAGTATTCAGAATTTTAATAGTCAAGGAGCATTCCATCTTCATCGGTACCCTTTTACTATTTCTTTGTAGACTCTGGAAATGGACAAATGACTCACACAATCTTTGCAAACCATAAAAATACAATGAGGAATAAACTTCCAGTTCACTAAAAGTTCTCACTGATTTTGCAGAACTTGACTATTTCGGCATCCACACAGGTTATGGCTTATTGACATTCTTGCCAGCATTATCTACTGACACGCTGGAAGGCTGACGATTTCATTTTCTTTCTTTTTTCCTCCAGCTTTATCAACGTATAATTTAAAAACAAAAATTGTATGTTTAAGATGCACAACTCATTGTCTTGTTCTATACATACACTGTGAAATAATCACGTGAAATGCATTTTCAAATACAGAAATCTCTTCCCAGGTACATAGGAAGGCAAATTTTAACTGAAGCCAAAAGAATGTTTTTCAAATGACAATTACAGTGGAAGGGACTGACTCAGAACACGCCCAATTCTACAACTCTACAGGCTTTCAAGCCAAAGGTAAACAGCCAACTGTCCAGGGTGACTCTGAAGCAGACAGACATCTGTGCCTACCACTTGCAGGTCCTGGGCAAGTTGCTTTCCAGTCATGAGCCTAATTTTCCTCATCTGTAAACTGGTGGCAAAAATCCATTTCCTACGATTGCTGTTAAGGATTTAAAGGGCGAAGTACACGTTCGAGCCACACAGCCGGGCACTGGGCTCATTATTCCAGAGGAAGATTCCTGCACTCTATGGCAGAGGTGAAGGTTTCAGAGTTCACATCCATTCTAGTCAAGACTCTAACTACACCAGGGATTTTATATAATGACCAAATATTTTATCCCTTGTGCGAAAACAACATAACCACCCATGTCTACATTATTCACTTACTTTATGTTTAATCGCAGTTCAGGTAGGCAGTCATTAGAAAGCTGAACCTACAGATTCTAATTAGAAACATTTTAAAGCTCACTTGATTTACTTGAACTTCTGACTTTGGGAAAAATACACGTGTCAAAAAACATATTACACCGCCGCTTTACATGATTATAGAGCTAGAACCTAAGCTGAACTAAGTGAATGCAGACAAAACGATTTGTTCCGGAAACATAATCAGCCCATCGAAACTGCCTGGTAAAAACAAATGACAAAACATCCAATCCGATACATTCCAAAACCAAGTGATATTAACATCGTTTTCTCGATTCACACAAATGACTGCGAAATTACAGGATGACAAAACAACCCCTATTAAAATTGCAACTGGAGTCCCTTCATCTTCAAATACCTTCTCGGCAGCATTCTGCGCTGGTTTCAGCTTCCCTTTGGCCATCAGCATGGCATTGATCTTGGCGGCCACGGCAGCGGCGGCATCCAAGGCTCCAGAGGGAGCGGCTGTGGAGCCCCCCGGGCTTCCCCCGCTGCTGGGAACCTCCCCGCCCGGGGCCGCCGGTGGCAGGAAGAGAAGGGGGGCCGGAGCTGGCTGGTCCCATTTGCTGCGGCGCCTACGGTTAAGTAAAAAGGAAAAAATAGGCCCCAAAGCTCTTATCTATAGCAGCCTTCCCTTCTACGCCTTGGCGCCCGTCCTCCCTCTACCGCCTTCCCTTTACACCTCCGAATCGACCAGGTGTTAAAACTATCCCCTTAGACGATTACTGCAACGCTGCCCCAAATTCTCACTTCTTTCGACCCCTTTCCACAATCGACTTCTTTTCCATTCTGTCGTCCGTATGAAACTCCGTCCTGTCCCACACGCCCTCGTTTGAGCCTTCCCCTCGGCTCGTCCTCCCCTCGTCCCTCTGGCGCCCGCCGGCCTCTCCCGGGGGCCCCGGGCCTGCCCGCCCCCTC